GCCTCCTTTCAGCGCTGAGCAAATTGTTCGAGAAACTCATTCTCAATCGTTTGCTCAAGTTTGTCGAGGAAAATAACATTCTCCTTCCGGAACAGTTTGGATTCAGAAAGGGGCACTCCACCAATCATCAGCTAGTACGGGTGATGAATAACATCCGAAGTAACAAAGCTGTATCCAAGTCCACAGCCATGGCCTTGTTAGACGTTGAAAAGGCGTTTGACAATGTTTGGCATGATGGACTTGTGTACAAGCTTTGTAACTTCAACTTTCCTTTACATCTTATTAAAATCACCCGTAACTACCTCCAGCAAAGGTCGTTTAAGGTATCGTTGAATGGTTGTCTCTCAGACACGTTTTCGATCCCAGCAGGAGTCCCGCAAGGTAGTCTGCTGGGCCCCTTGCTTTACAGCATTTACACTTCCGACATTCCTCCCCTCGGTGACGGTTGCGTGTTTTTCCTGTTCGCAGATGATACCGCAATAGCCGTCAAAGGAAGGATGCCTCGCGAAATAACGAACAAACTTCAACGATGCCTTAACGCCTTTGCTGATTATGCCACCACGTGGAAAATCAAAATCAATGCCACCAAAACACAAGCGATCATGTTCCTCCATCGGCAATCGCCCAAACTGAAACCGGCTCCATCTTGTACTGTAATCATGGATGGCACAAGGGTTGAGTGGTCCGCCGAAGTAACCTATCTCGGGATGTTGTTCGATGAAAAGCTCCTCTTCCGTTCGCATGTAGAGAAAACAGTAGTCAAGTGTTCTGCCTTGGTTAGGTGTCTGTTTCCGCTAATTTGCCGCAGATCCCGCCTCTCAAGGGTGAACAAACTGGCCGTCTACAAACAAATCATAGCACCTGCGATCCTCTACGCAGCTCCGGTGTGGGAATCATGTGCACAGACTCACAGGAACAAAATCCAGGTCGCTCAGAATAGAGTGCTGAGGATGGTACTTGATCGTCCTTTTGACACTAGAATAACAAATTTACACGAAGAGGCAGGCATTGCCAAAATAGATTCCAGAATTAACGAAATTAAGACTAAATTTGCACAAAAATGTAATTTATCAGAACATGCTTTGATAAGCAATTTGTATATAGTAGATTAGGTGTATATAGTAGTTGTAGGTTAGTTGTAGTTGTAAATAGTAGTTACAAGTAGTCTTCTTTTTCAAATTTTCAAGCAAACCAATCCCACCAAGGTGGTCATTCTCTAAAACAGGCCTGATAGGACTAGGAACTGTAATTAATAATAATTGAAATTTCACAGGAACTAAAGTTGAAAAGACGCATCTGTGTCACTTGATAAGTTATACATGTAAACCACACAAATTCAAGAAATATAGATCATTTAAAGTCAAAAAAAAAAAGGACTTTTATTATCCTATGAACAAAAAACACCTAAATTTCGCACACCCGCCACTTCTCGCGTCATCCTCAATCCGGTTTATCCTTGCGATTTTAAACCAAAACATTCAAGGTGTCAGAAATACCGGGTTGCCCTGATGGATATTTTACAAACAATTGCAGCTTGCTCTATAACCGGCACACCTGCGGCACACTTGCGGCACACTGACAAAAAAGATGACCCAAGACTGGTGTGCGGAGTAACCTACCCCATGACACTAAACCATTTTATTTACACTGGATGTTCAGTTCATTCTTGTTTTGCCAAGTGTGGTTGTAGTCGTAGACCTTTTTGACGTTTTTTTTTTCTATCTAGCTGACGGGGATGATTGGACTCAACCTGTTTTCAGTCTCTTTTGGATTTGGATGGCGCAGTAGTGTGCGCTGGATAAACGTTTCAGTAATTGGAAAAAGGGGGTGGAGAAATTTAAACTGCATGAAAACTCGATCTGTCACAGGGAGGCAGCGATGAAACGGTAGGTGTTGAAAGCATCAGTTAACGTTTGTGCGCAGATCTCTGACCAAAAGAAGAAAGAAATGATTGCGAATCGAGGGTGTTTGGAAGAAGATTTTTTCAACGCTGTTATTTCTAGCATCAAGGACTTGCGATCCGTGGATATATCTAGAAAGGAGTAATTCGCGTTTTGCATCCGGTTTACCGGAAGTGCGTTGGACGCCGAAGAATTTTTCCTTGGCTTTTATGAGGTAGAATCTACAACGGGGCTGTGCCATTTCACCGAAGGACGTTTCCCGGAAAACATTTTACCGAACGTGTCATTTCACCGAATTTTAATCAAGAATCAATATACAATTAAATTGAATTTGGAACGCATTTAAATAATAGATATTCCCATGTAAAACAACTCGAAAGAACTGCTCATGTTTAAAAGAAGCAAGCATTACTATAAATCAAACATATTGAACATTTCATTTACATTTTACATTTACATTTGAATAGCTTGCCAGGTTGAAAAAATCGAACCTTCTTAATCCCTCTACAACCTCCTTTTAGCTGAAATGAGTATTTGCATCCTTGGATGGCGCTAAAAATATGGCTGGCGGCAAAAATGGTGTACAGTCTAAAATTATCCATGACGAAAATAGAGCTTTGTTTGTTTATTACTTGGCCCATTCGTTGAACTTGATGGAGCAAGATATGATAAAGACAATTCCTCTCTGTAGAGATACCTTAAATATGGTTAGGGATTTAATCAACTTTGTCAGGGATTCGCCTACAAGGCTTGCTATCTTTCAGGCTCTGAAATCAAATGATTCCAACAATCTACGGTCTCTTTGCCCGACAAGATGGACTGTAAAATACGTATCCCTGTCATCTGTCTTATCGAACTATTCCGCTTTGGTTGAATTTTTCACTACCCTGGTTGACAATGATGCTTCCGATGCTGGGGCAAAGGTTTCTGGATTTTTGAAAAAGATGGAAAAGGTTGAATTTTACTTTATCTTGGTGGAACTGGTTAAAACTGTTTAGCTACATTGATACGGTGAACACAGCTCTTCAAAGGAAATTGCTACGATTGGATGAAGCTCATCGAATAATTGAAACACCGGCCAGCCTAAACTTTTGAAAAAGGATTTTTTTGGAGTTTGGACTAAAATTAGAAAACACGCCGAGGAAGGATCACCTAATCCACCAAGAAAGAGGAAGGTTCCGAAGCGTTTCAACACGGACGAACAACCACAGACTGATCGCTCAATAGAAGAGATTTATAAAACACAATATTTGGACATCGACCGGATTCTGGAATCACTTGGCTCTCGATTCTTCTAAGTTTAAGTCTTTTAAGTTCATTTTGGAAATTGAACAGTTTTTACTGGGAGACGACACAAACAAAGCTAAAATTCGCTTTTACGAAGGGGATAAGTCATGCAAATCGGAGAAGGTCGAGTTTATCGATCTGTCATTTGGCGTGGAACTCTTTTTTAGATATACTTTTAAAGCGGATGTGGCGTCAAAATCCTATTTAAGTGTGTTCTAACCTTTTGCTTTAAAATCTTGTTTTCTTGTTTTTTATCAAAGAAACAATTTTGTAACGTTTTTAAAACTTTTACGCTACAATCCAGTTTTTCATTTTCAGAAACATGTATATCGCATTTTAAGAAGTTTTTGGCATTTTTTTCTACCCCGTTTTCTGGCCAAAGAAAATGAATTTTTAAATTCCTAAAGGCTTTTTTGGAGTCATAATCTTTAGATGAGGTGTTTTTTGACTTGACTTTATCAATTTGCGTATTAAATTAACGCCTTGTTACCGTTGTTAAGACGTTTTTATAACTCTTTCTGCATGTCTCCTGGTCTCAAAAATGCTGTTTTTCGCGTTTTTAAAGCGTTGTGGGAGATACGGCGAACTATTGTTCACCTATCCAAAAAGAGATTTTCAAAACTCTTAATGTTAAATCGTGCTTTGGTGGAGCATCTCAAAATGTAATTTCATTCGAAAGCTAGCGCACACCACACCTCACCAATATCTCCATACCAGTGTATCCTTTTGGGAACCTCTCTAAATGCCAAGCATAAACTACAGCCCAACCCAACTCCGTTTATACCGATGGATATTGAATCCGAAATACCGGTGTGTGGGAGCTTCATCGTTAGCTTTTCCAATCGAGTGTAGCATTACATAAATCTCGGGAAACCCATTCTGCCAACATTCATCATCTTGTCAATGCCGCTGGTAGCAAGCATACAGTACGTATATGTATCGAATAATTCACATCGCTGATATTGCGAGAAAAAAAACACGACGGTCATAGGAGGTATTTCAACAACCCACCCAATCCATATTGCCAAAAGCAATACACGATACACGGAAATAGATTTCCCCGAACACATACACACATTCACACTCACACACACACACATACAAACCAACACGTGCAGAATCCCCACAAGACGGAAATTGCGAGCAATTTATACACACCAATCGCATCTCTAACCCTCAAGCACCATCCCCGCCAGCTTCAAAACCGATGACGCGCCGAACCGGAAGCTCCAGTCTTTTCTTAACCGAGTGATTTCACACGTATCATACAAATAACAACGCGAAATATTCCGCACACTCTGTTCCCGGTCTCTCTCTCTCTCTCACCCTCTCTCTATCTCTCTCTCTCTTTTGAGCTTTAAAAAGCAGCCTTTACTGTACAATTATTCAACCAACAGCGCGCACAAGTTAGAACAGAAAAAAAATCGTCCCTTCATATACAGACACAATCCTAAACATCCTAGCACACGCTCTCGCTACAGATTCCGCTTACCGCTACTTCCGATGCTAACGCCGCTGATGCTACCCCTACCGCCGGCCACTCCGACATCGCCACCACCGCCGACCCCGATGATGGCACCGGAGGAGGGGTGGTGATGCTGATGCTGGTGCAGATGATGATGCAGATGGTGGTGATGGTGGTGATGCAGCAGCGGTATGCTACTGGCACTGATGGCCGCCGCACTGGAGGACGTGGACGTGGCGGTGCCCGTTTCGGTTAGATTGTACACGGCCATCTCGGCACCACCGCTGCTGCCGCCACTGCTGCTGCCACCACCTATACTCGCACCGCCACCGCCGACGATCCCGTGACCACCGGCGGTTGCGATTATAGATGTTGATGATGTGGTTTGTAAGGTAGTAACAGTAGCTTGCTGCGGCTGCTGATTTGCTGAACGTAATAAATTGATTTGATTATTATTAGCGCGATATGTCAAAGCGTGATTATTAGTGGCATTTACATTGTTATTGATACGCTCCTGCGCGGCAAGCCGATGGTGGGGTGCCGTTTCGTAACCCCCTAGCCCGGGACCTCCGGCGACCGGACCGAGGTTGTTGAACGTAGTCGTAACCAGGTTATTATTGTTGTGATGATTGTGGCCAGTGCCGGCACGCATTATGTGCCCACCATCGCCCGGCATCATTCCGGCCGCCGAGCTGTTGTACGGATGCTGATGCGGATGGATGTTCACGTCCAGATCAGCACCGGCACCGATCAGACCGTGATGCTGCAGGTGATTCGGCAAATGCAAATCCGCTGCTGCGTTGTTGGCCATCTGGTGGTTTCGTCGGCGAACCTTGGAAAACACTCCGTTGAAGAGTTTCAGCGCAAAGAGCGCGATTATCACTATCACGATACAGATGGCTATGCTGATGTAGATGAGGATTTTGATATCGTCGTCGATGATGGAGAGAAGCGAGAGCTGCGTTTCGTCTATGGCGTCTATTAGGAGGGCAAAGTTGGTCAGATGGTTGCACATACAAACGGTATGGGTGGCATTGGTGTATTCCACGTAGCAACCATCTTCGGACCATGCGTGGTCAATGTAGTTCCAAAACACACACGTCGGATTGGAAACGTTTTTCGTTCTGAGATGCTTCAGGATCATACGAATGGGCTGTGACAGCTGTATGTGGCGTCCTTTGCCCAGGCTAGCGGATATCACCTTACTGTTGAGCAATCGCTGCCGAGGCGTCGTCGCAGACACATCATTGTTATTTGAGCTAGAGTCGTCCTGTTCTAGTTTGTTCTGATCGACACGTGGTTGTTGGATGTTGGTGAATTGAGGCCTTAGGATTTGCTCCAACCGATCGAATGCAACGAACACTATCCTCACCAGACCGCCTTCACTGTTTTCGATCAGCGCTGCTTTGGGCAGTTCGATTTGATCGTTGCTAACCTGCCACCGTTCTTGGCTCGAGTCGGGAAACACTTCGTTTTTGACAAAATTCCTAGTCTCCAGGACCCGTATCGAGAGCAGGATGTTTTTCACCTTCTGAACCACGTGCCTCTCCCGAAGGATGGTATCGGCCAGTAGGAACGCGTTATCCTCCAACCCGGTCAACAGCGACGTCGCTACCCGCATCTGATCCTCCACACTCAAATCCAGCCAGCTGGCATGTTGGGATTGGTCCAACAGATTGCTTCCAGTTTTTACTACACTATTCAACAATTCATACACCAACGCTTCCCGCTGTCGCTGGTCGGGCAGGGTTTCGATATCGAAATGCATCTTTTGCGACATGGTTTGCATAATTTTCGTAGCGACTAGCATGTCCCCTCCGTACAGCGTCTTGCTGCTCGTCACCTGCGACAGGTCGTTTGCTATCGAAATCAGCGACGAGTCCTGCTGATTGACCCGGATTTCCAGATTGTTGAGCCACAGTGATCGACACTGCGTCAGATCCGGCTGATATGAGTACCACGTGGCCATCGCACCGCCACCACTAGCTGCCGCCACTCCGTTCCTACTACCGCTACTAAGGTTACTATTAAAACTAATATCACTTTTGTTATTATCATCTAGTAATGATTGTTGCTGCAAATGCATTCGCTGCTCGGGCGTCAGCGATCCTATTGCTACGCATCGCCACTTGGCAATACCGGTGGCCCCACCCGGACAAGGCTGCACGTTCGACTCCCCGACACGTGTCACATTCCAGAACAGATTTCTCGCCGTCGTTGGACCACACGCGTGACTCACATCAAGCACATTGTTGTTCACAGCACTGTTACCGATGCTGCTGTTGCTATTTCCACTTATGCTATTACTATTACTACCACTACTACTGCTGCTGTGATTATCATCATTCTTCTTACTGCTAGGAAGGTTTCCACCCATTGAAACATTGCTTTCGTCGTAGCTCTTGCTACCATCACTGCTGCTCCTATCCCTATCTCTATTAGCGTTGGATAATACTGCCGTTTGCGTCGGAAAATAGTCTTCATCGTCACCAAAGTCTTCATCATCCTCCGGGGCACCAGCGCCACTTTTATCCTCACTCTTCGGTCGCTTCCCCGCGTCACCACCACTAATCGTCTTAATAATTGCCAAATCATCATTCACACTCTTATTCTCGAAGCCTTTGTATCCGAACGAGGGCGGCGACTGTTGGTTCACCATCAGTGTCTGCTGCTTGTACGGCGTCGTCGGTTTCACCTTGCCGACCGTCATTCCGATACTGCTGCTCGTCGCCGACGTCACACCGAATCCCGCCAGCGGATCGGAAAAGTTCAACTTGCTCAGCACCGGATTCCGAACCGTCGAGGTGCTCCACACGATCGGCTGCGATGTCTTCAGCCACGGTGGACTCGGCCTGTTGGTCGTCGTGGATGACTGTGCAGCCGAAACGCACTGATAGTGCGCTTCCAAATACTTGTGCGTACCCTGACATGGGTCCCCAAACATGTTGGTCGACGCCAGCACCGAGCAGTTCTGCTTCTGGGCACACTTCGAGTGCAGTACCCGCAAACTCTTCGGCGACATACAATTCACGCTCCAGTCCACGTTCCCGTGGTCGTTGCAAATCGTTATCGAAAATCGCCCATAGTTGGCGCGAATCAAATTGATCAAATCGCCATTTTCGCACTCGATCATCAGGGTCTTACCCTCGCATGCGTACGCCGTCTCGTATTTGGGCGCTATGGCAAAATTGAGCGTCGGGAGCGTCATGAGCAATAACGCCACACTGCTCCAAACGCTCCTCCAGTTGGAACAGCTGGCCTCCGGTGCCCGGAACCCCCTCCTTCGTCTACCACTACTACTGCCACCGTTGCTATCGGCCATGGTGCCTGATCGAAAGGACCTCATTGCTAACTTCTTCTTCTTCTTCTTCGTCTTCGTTTTCTGCTGATGGTTTTTAACGATTGCTGGTGCATATCATTCACACTCAGTGCTGCTGCTGCTGCTGCTAATCCAATTGCTGGTGGAATGGAGCCTCTGCATACTGTTCCGGTGATTGCGAATTATCTGTTGGGAATAGAAATAGAACAGAAAAAGCACTTGTTAAATCGTGACCAATCGCTACTATGGGAATGTACTTTTCGGGACGCTTTGGTTGTCAAAGGAAGGGAGGGATGAAATAAAGAATATGGAAACATGACACCCGAGAATATATGTAGTTGGTACACCATGGGCGGTGCCAGGGTTCCGAGATATATGGAGTGTACCATTAGGGGTTGTTAATAAACTACGTAGACTGATTGTGAGTGGTTTTAGGCCCCTCCCTTCTCACTCCACATCAGCCCAGTGGCAGGCGCGTAGGCAACATGTTATACCGTGACAGCGGGCCCAAACAGCAAAATAAACGATTTGAGCCCGGGACATGCTGCGTACTGTCAAACGCTGCTGTTGGTATAGGCCTTGTCACTGGCCTGCTCCACATAGATAAGCGTCCATTAAACTTTGCATAATTGTGGGGGTTATGAGAAATCATTCACATTTTTACAATAAATTGAACATTTCGGATCATGTAATTTTTTTCAAAATGGCGTCTTTGTCATTTTTCAATAAAATGTAGCATGAAAACGTCAATTCTCAAAATTACGCCTGAGACAGTTTTTCTGGGAAAAATATACATGGTATTTTTTGTATGTAATTTTGAAAACAAATTCCAGATATCTCTAAAAGTATATCTTCATTTTTTTAAATTAAAAAAAAACTCATACAAATGTAGATTTTTGGAATATTTTAAACAAGGGCAGTTGTAAATTGACAAAGATCGCTTTTTTTATCAAATTTATACACAGAAAACAATATTTAAGACATAAATCGCTATCTGTGCAAAAAAACATGAAATGCTTGTTAACAAGAAGTTTAAAAATATGAAAAAAAGTTGATGTTCTACGATTCATGTCAATTTTCAAGTATCCATGGTTTAAAATACTCCAGAAGTTTTTCATTTTTTCTGAGCCATATTTTAAAAATAAATTGCAAATATTAAAATATACTTTTTTAAATATTCAGTTTTTACTCAAAATTACTAAGAAAAAAAAATACCGCGTATATTTTTCCCAGAAAGATTCAACTTTGTTTCAGACGTTTGATCAGAAGTGACGTTTTCGTGCAAAAAATTCTGAAATGTTACGTCATTTTGAACAAATTGCAAGGTCCAAAATGGCCGAATTTCAAAACTCCAAAGGAATACTTTTAAAAAAAATCATTGCATAATTTTAAGCGAATTCATAAGAAATTTGGAAGAACTTCAAGAAGTTTCTGGGAGAGCAAATTTTAGGCATATTGCCGAAGAAATTCTGAGTAGTGTTCCAGGATATTCCGGTAATCGCGAAATTGAACATATTTGAATTTCTGTGGCGAAGGTTTCAGCACAATTTATCACAAGAGAACAAAGTTACATGTTGACCATTTTGTATGAAAATCGACATGTGCTTCTATTAAATCGAACAGCACTGTATTGTAGGGTATTTGTAAAATTTTCGTAGACCAAAAATTCACCATCTTGAATGCCAAAATGATGGTATTTCCGTGGTATTATCGAATTCCAGTCTCTACACGTCACCCTTGATCGGAAAATATGCTTACTGTAGGGAATTTGACTGATTGTTTAAAACCCGATGCCGTTATCTTGAATTTCATTTAATATGGCGTCAATCGAAGATTTCCGGTCTCTAAACGACATTTCCGTTCTAGAAATGACAAATGTAGAGTTTTTGATAGTTTTCTGAAAAGGGAAGCCGCCATCTTGGATTTCAAAATGCCGCCAGTTATCAATGTTGGGCCTCTACATGTCATTTTCGTTCGAAAACTATTCATATTGTAGGGTATTTAACAATATTTCATAAACCGGAAACCACAATATTGGATGCTAAAAGCGCGTCGTAAATCATCAATTTCCGGCCACTATATGAGCATGATTGACCGCCCGCGGATGCTACTCCGATATTGCCAGATCAGCTGTAAATGCGCAGAGAACCAAAAAATACTGCTTGGGACTAGTAATCATCCTCAATGTGTAAACTGTTGATATAAATTTGGGCAATACAAGCGCCGGCCGCTACAGGTCATTTCCGATACAAAAATACCCATATACAATATATAAAAAATGAGGCAATCACCAATTTCCGGCCTCCGCACATTATTCTCGTTCTGAAGATACACATATTGTGGGATATTTGACAGTTTTTCACACCGGAAGCCGCCATCTTGTATTTCAATATGCCACAACATTGGATTTTAAAATGGAGTCGAAAATCTGCATTACACCACATAACACTAATGTACACTACATTACACTTCCGCACCACTCTTCTAAAAGCAAAGAAGAAGAAATTGAAGCAGCAGCGCAACGGACAAAATTTCTCGTTGTTATATTATTACGTAAGTAGTAGGCAGTGACACAGGTTTAACTACACACTTAGAAATAACTAAATTTACACGTGACGGAATCCGTCATTGACATAAAAAATGAGACGTAAACAAACATGTCATGTAATATTAAGTGCTCCGAGATTGAAAAGTTGGTTGCTCGACGAAAAGTATGTTTGATTAAGCTATATTTCGCGTCTGTTATGACTTAAATTTATGTCAAAATTGACGCTCGTATATGTTACTCTCAGAGCACCTAAATTAAGTGTGTAGATTTTACGCTCATTTTTATTTTTGGGATATGAGTAATTTTAAATCAATCATTTTTTTAAATCCATCAAAATAATCAATATTATAGAGTTTGTTTAAATTAAGAATTATGAACCTTTTATGACTATGAACGGCCTTCCGGAAAATCCGAAACATACGAAAAAGTGGTCACTTAAGGAAACAGATCATATAATACAGTTATACTTGATTCTCATCTGCTATCTACGTGAGCACCTCATAACATTATGTGAGATATATAGATGCATTAACAAAATATCTTTGAATCTCCTAATAATCCTGGAGCTCAGATCTTGAAGTTCTACAGACTCAAAGAGCTATTGTACGATGCCCCGACTATATGTTTGAACTCGGAAAGCTTCATGGATCCCCATAATATCATGCGGGATATATAGGTTGAATTGAAAAAAAAAATCTCCGGATTATCCTTGAGCATAGACCTTGATGTTCTACATACTCAATAAAGTCTTGTACGATACCTTGATTTATTATACGAATTCGTAGATCTTGGGACCTCATCACATCATATGGGACATAAGTATTAGCTAAATATCTTTCAATCTCCAAATTATCCTGGAGTTGAGGCATTTTTTTTTTCCTTGATTTGTTTTTCGAACAGAGTACCAATGCTACCGACGCCATACCTGGACCCTACCTATCGACCCATCAATGGACCGGGCTTTTACTTTCCTTCAGAAGGAAGACATGATCAGAGATTTTATGCCTCAGATAATCCCGACTGGGATTGAACCCAGGCCTGCTGGGTGAGAGGTAATCACGCTTACCACTACACCACCGGCGCCGCTAGAGTTCAGACTTTGATGTTCTACAGACTCAACGAGGTAGTGTACGATGTCTCAGGTAAATTTTTAAAACCGTTAAGCTTCATGGAGCTCCATAATATCAAGCGGGATACATAGTTGTAACGACAAAGTATTTCGAGATTTGAGTGTTTGAGAGAGTGAGCTAGCAGTAACGACAAATCGACGATCGATGTCATTGTTACAAAAAAACAGATAAGGACAGTTCTTTGCATTCTAGATTCTAGACCAACAAAAATCAATTACAAAACTAAATTCATAAAAAAAAACACAATCAGATAAAACTGTACATACAGTCAACTCTCTACAACTCGATATTGAAAGGTCCACCGAGGTATAGATTTGTCGAGTAACGTAATAACAATCCAATACAAAACGGTATCACAGTAACCATGAAATTAATTTGGGCATCTAGTTGTGGAGAGTTGACTGTATATAGTTCTAATGATCGCAATTTGAATTGACAGTAAATAATTTATTCCTGGATTTTCTAAACTTAAGTCGGCCTATAATCAACCGAAATATGGCCATTTCCCTGGAATCGGTTCTGATGGAGGGTTCTGAATGCGGACATATCTTTAAATCACCCAAAACACGTATCACATTCAATCCATTCTCTGATCCATTTCCATCTATTTTTTTTCTATGTTGCTGAATTACAAGTAATTACTAGAAAAAAATGCATCCAAATGAGAGTCGTTCCCCCTGATGGAAAGCCTATTTAAGTAAAACCATGAAAGAAGAGATGCCACACGGCATGTTTTGGTGTAAAAATGCAATCATTCCCTGCTATAGGTTCCCCCGGGGACTTCCTGGTAGCCCCGAGAGCGGCCAATGTGGTCAATGATACACTTCAAATCTATCGAAAGCCTATTCATGTAAAACCACGAAGAAAAGGCTGTCGTTCGGCATGTTCCCTGTTAAAGGTTTCCTCGGGGACATCCCAGAGGTTCCGAGTGCGACCAATGTGATAAATGTTCTATTCTATCCATAGCCTACACAGATAAAAATTCTGAATTTTATTTGTGATGTAAGCATTCATTCACGTAGACTTGTATTTCATTTCACGCAACCGAGCAACTTGCAAACAATGTTGTTTACAAAGATGGGCTTTTGTATGCAATATTTGCTACATTGCATGAAATGTGTCAGAACTTTACATGATATATAATGTAAACGTATATGATATATGACGCTCCATTTATGTGCATCATATTGAACAGAAATTTACACTACTTTTTCGAGCTGTGTAGTCATGGAAAAACATGAAGAATGAGTGCTGTCGCCCAGCATGTTATGGTGTAAACACGCAATTGTCCTCTACTACAGGTTCCCCAAGGGTATCCCGGAGGTTACGAGAGAGGCCAATGAGGACAATTATACACTTAAAGCCTATCTAAAGTCTGATGATGTAAAACCTGCCCTACGGCTTGTTTTGGAGTAAAAATGGAATAGTTCCCTGCTACAGATTCCCTCGGGGGTATCCCTGCGGTTTCAAGAGTGGCCAATATGGTCAATGAGCCATTTGAAGTGTAT